ACAGCAATAATTTAAATATTAAAACAGGTAAAATGTCTTCATCTATGTATTGGCTTGGTTCCCTAAGAAGCATATGGGGATGTCACAGTTCAGGCAGCTCTGCTTTCCAAATTCCTCCAGGCTTAAAGTATAAAAAAGAAGAAAGGATTCACAGAATTCAGGTCCACACCCAGGTTCAAGCCCCATACCATATATTCTGAAAGAAAAAGGGGAAAGAAGGAGGAATCTGGAATATCTTTGCAACCTTTATGGAAATTATTCTGCAATTGCACTGGCACAGCGGTCATCCAAATTTGGCTCTGTGTCTATATCTCTAAAGGGGTCTAGGCCCACAATTTAAAAATCAATTTACATATTTATTAACCCCAGTAAATAGATGTAAATGATCCTGAAAGATATTGCTCATGAGCTTTTCTGTTGAAGGCAAATATTGTAGTGGGACCCTTTGATCTGGAAGAATGGGGAGTGGACTGGAAGGGGCATGGAGAAGTACATTGTTAGGAAAAAAATCCCTTTCACCATGTTTGCATGCTATGAAGACATGGTAAAAAAGCAAGCCCGTACCCCAGCTCCCCCTTTGCACACGCCCCTTTTAATTATGATTATTTTGGAAGACAACTACCCAGCGATCTGCAGAAGGGACTCGCCTGAGAAAGCTTTCTCACGTTCACGTCTGGCTGCCTCTCTGTGTGAGCAGGGGCAGTGGTCCCGGGAGAGGAGGCAGGCTGGAATGCAGCGCGGTGCTGGGGGCCCAAGCCCCGAATGGCCGGGGTCGCTGGGAGACCTTCGCCATCCAGGCCTCTGCTGCCTGCATAACATGCATACCCACACACAAGCTAGCAAGTCATATGCGCTCCTCTTTCATTTTTTTTTTTTTTTCTTCTCTGTTTGCAGCTGGTCTATTTGATCTCTGTGTGCCTGGACTGTTTGCTGTTGTGAGCGTCTTGCCATGATCAAAACCTTATTATCCCAAGTGATGTTGTAGTGTTAGATATTGGAAAAGGGCAGTGGAGTATAGCAGCCGGCAGCTACAATACTGGGCAGATAACAAAGGCACCAATAACCTCTCTCCAGTGTACTTGGATTGATTCAGTGAGAGGACTGAACATCACTTTTCTTGTGATGGGTATGGACTTTTCAACAACTACTCCCTCTGCTGCTGTTGAGCTTCCTCAGTCGTACATCTCTCTGTATCTCTGTATAAAGCAGAGATCAGGGAGCACACGACTGCGTCCATCTGTGTGGCGACTGTAGGTCTTCAGTGGATTAAACGCTGCAATACATGCTTCCAGCTTGTAACTGTGCTGCTCATATACACCACTGCTGCAGGGATGGGCACCAAGGAGCTCCAGCTGGCAGATCAAGCCACAGGCATTTGACTTTCTGTGAGCTACATTCAGTGTCTTAGAAGCCTTTTTCTCAGCTTCTGTACTTGATTTGTTTGCTTTATTGCTTTTGAGATGTAAGGTTGCTGTTCCTTAAGTGATAAGTTCCTTAAGTTTCTGGTGACAGTGACCCTCTGGGAGACCCAAGGCTCGTCTTAGCCAAGCAACCTGACGTGGTCATGAGAAGCCATTTCCTTGCCCCACTGGTCCTCGTCACTGACTGATGTATGAACAGCTCTC